GAGGGCTACCTTTCTTGACTGCAACAGTGCAATAACAAAAGTTGAGTTGCTGAGACTGTAGGCCGGCCTCAGTGTAAAGTCTTACACCGTCGATCTGTTCAGGTCGGCAACGAGAAATCTGTGGCTCTCTTGATAACGTGTTGGATCGGAGCAAAAGGGTCCTGTTTGCCACAGACACTAGATCTTGCTCATCCTATAAACATACATCCCATCACCAGTGCGTGAAATGCGTTCGCGATATTCCTTTATTGGTTTCGGTACAAGTCCAGAATTGAACTATCGCGTTTCATCGCCTTCATTCAGGAATTGGGGGTACTGTATGAGCAACGATGACTTAATACTTGATCGAAAAAACATTTATGGACTAGTTTTCACCGTGCAAGATCCGTAACCAGAGCCTGTACAGAATTTATCATGGCAGAATTTACAGTTTAGAAACACCTGGTTCGAAAATTACTTCCTTAAAACGCTTGGAGTTGATTTTGGATGAGAGCCTCGACGGGAAACAGTAAGTAAACGCACGGTCGGTTTGAGAGTTGTGCAAACGGGGGAGGTTGAGCTCCCTTCAGAAGTGCTGAAAGATTCACCAAATCCTGCATTCCAGCACTTCTGTCATTCGTCCACTCTGCACAGGTAAATTTCAGCAGTCTCAGGAAAAACCAACGGGTCATCTGGTACCTTTTGAAATTACCTAGTCAAGTTTATAACTAATCCGTTGTATGAGTTAGTGTCCATCCTGAGCAGACGCTTGATAAACACAACAGTTGCTGTGGCAGTTTTATTATAACTGATCCAACCCCTTCACTCTGCCAATTTTTCCAAAGTACGCCCCGGACTGCGACACACCAACGGTCAGTCATTTCGTTCGCTGTCAGATCGAGCCTAAGAAAGGAAAGCAGTTATTCTGAACACGAATCTGGTCAGTCTGAGGGAAATCGGCGTACCTATTCGAATTTTAGCCAACTGCTGCGCGCCTCTAGGTTCATTGAAGAAAATCTGACTGGCTAGATGTCATCTGCTTTGTAAAGCGCTGGCTTCTCCAGATAATGGAATGCAAAATATTCAGAATATGTGCCGTTTATATCCGCAGCTATCTTTCTACCGCGCTGACTGTTAATGCTGGTTCCCAATGGTTCCCTAAGCACTGTTTGTTTCTGTCTGTCCGCCTACAAAGTACTCGCAAGGCATAAAAAGTTCAGGATCACTTCCATAAGTTCCTTGGTGGAGAGGATACGGGAACTGTAAGTGCTGTTTCTGGCAATTCTCATATTCTTCAACTTCTGCATGATCGAGGGACCCAGATCTGAGCATTTCGTATTAAAATTAAAAGCAATAAGACGTTGCAGATCTGGACCATTTTACACACATAATAAACAGTTCAAATTTCAGTCTAGGTCAGACCACTCACTCAAATGACCAGACCAGACTTAACCACCAAAATATGAAAAACAATATTCTGAAAATCTCGGCAAAGCGAATAAAAATATCAAGAACTCTTCATCTAAAGCTCGTAGTTGTTGGCGGCAAAATTGACTGAGGTATCAAACACTCGACCAGCGCAACTCTCTTCTTTTTCCTGTTAGTTTCGGTCAAAGCGTATGCTGTCTCAAAATATCTTCAGGATCGAGAAAAGAACAAAACACCAAAATAACCTGCGTCAGTTGTTGGCCAGGTCGTTTACATCGGCAGCGATTCGGGATCGTAGAAGCGGTAGAAGTCGTTGGTCAGAAATTTGGCCTCACTCAGCTTCAAGTCTGACAGACGATCGTTCATCTTATTGATTCCGCGGACGAACTGAGACGGGGGCACCAGCTGCATTAAAGAATGGAAGATCTTCGTGTTCTTCCTGTCCAGTGCCAAGTACAGCGCCCTGTAGCATCCGGCATGGAACAGGGCGTGCTTCAGTTTGTCACATGCGTGGTCCATGAAGAAACCGATCAGTCGCTCGTATTCGCTCGACTTCTGGTCGTTGTCCAGGATATGGTAAACGCAGTTGATGAAAATGTCGGCCGTGATACGACCAGTGTTCACCGAGTTCATCTGGCACAACTCCTTACAAAGGTAAGTGAAGACGGTCGTGTTACTCGTTCGTTGACAAACATGGCTCCAGTCTTTCATACTCAAGTACTCGAACTGCGAGTGGCTGATCTTGGCTTTCAGGAATCGCACCAGTTCCACAAAATCGTTGTCCACAGCCCACAGGAAAGCCGAAGCCACCAGCGGCTTCGGGATCAGTCCCGGCCTTTCGAAAATCTTGCCGGACTGGTCGGCCAGGTACTCGATCCAAAAGTCGTACAGTGGGTGAGTACCAAGTTGTCGACGGAACGCCCTCAGACTCACTTTGTCGAAACAGGTCAAGCAGTTTCGCATAGCGTAGGCGCACGCGAACTGAAACTGCAGCTGCGGCCAGTCACCGTTCTCGTCGACGATCGTCTTTGCTGTCAGAAAATCGTCTCGTTCCAAAGTGTCCCCGTTCCATTTGATGCGATCCAGGTAGAAATTCAGGTGCTGCCTGCGTCGCGTCAGTCTTCCGCTGAACAGCGCGCCGTGCTTCTCGCTCCAACCGTGTACCCTGAAGCAAAGCTTGTCCAAATAACCCGACAGGTCATGTCTGACCATCGGGGCTACGTTCAGTCCTTTCAGGGCATCTTCGGACGCCACCACATCGGCAAGATTTGACCTGTGGATATTGGCCTTCAGTACCGATAGTGCAATGGTCCGCAGACAAACCTGTTTCAGTTCAGAGACGCACCGGCGATTGTCGACCGTCATGTGTGCAAAGGCAGTCGAAGAGTCAGAAGCTGCTGATGAGAAGAAGTGATGCAGATGGTGCGGTGAACTGGCAGCCTTAGTGCCGTATAGTCTAGGCGAGACTGGCACGCTGGCGGTTCATATTCACTACACGTGCTTGGGCAGTTGTTACGCGACTGGTAGACGCCAATCACGGCCACCGTTGCCTTCGCAACTGCAGTGCAGCAAGTCTTACCTGGACGAACGCTTGGCAACCGATCATGTCAGAATCAGCACAAATTCTACCACGGATGCATATGCTCATTAAACCACCTCTAGTACGGCGTAATTAATGCTGAACGATGTCCTCGCTCTCGAAACGCGGCCACTTCTGCACGAACTCTGAAACTCGATCAATGCCTAGCTCGATGACTCGCATGATCACTCGTTCCTCTACCTCAGCTCTTTTTTCTGCAATTTCCAGCTCCGATTACCGCGTTACAACGAAAACGTGATTCCGATACCACTGACAACGGCAATCGATCGGCTTTCAAGTGAAGGTTACTACTGAGGGCTTGACTCTCTAGTCAATTCTGGCCATCTCAGCTAAAAAGCTTCAGCTGAGCGTCCCTTCGGCTTAAGAAAACGTAAACAGCACGTAGTTCATTGAAAAAGCTTGCTGTTGTGTTGGCACTAGCAGAATCAATCGATAATCCTCTTACTTGCTGGGAGTAATACATAGCATATTAAAGAAATACCCGAAACCGGGTTTCAACTGTTTTGAAGAGCAGTTCCTCTTCAGCCAACGTGACTTGACTCGTGAAATGACGAAAGCTCCGCGAGCAGTTTCAATCACCGAAAGAGTGAATGAAATTTTGTCATTGCAATGAAATTTGACTTATTAAACCAATGAAGGAATAATTTGCTGAATCACTTTTTTGAGCCGGTTAAGAATAACTGAATTCAGAATGTGAAACAACTTAGTTTAGTAGTATATTAGAAACAGCATTTAAAAACACTGCAAACAGTGCAGTGAAGCTTCGGTCCCTTACACATGCAGCTTACAAGACAGAAATTGAACGTTTAAGAATTATGAAAATATTTATTGAAACCGATAGTGTTTCAGTGATAAAAATTGGTCAAGAAATATTATTAATCTTGTTGTAGTTATTCCTCTATTTCCATACTTTCAAGCAAGATCGATGGGAAATAAAGGATTTCGAATGTCTAAAGATTGGGCAGTACATTGGAATGCAAATTTAGTGAAAGGTAGGCCAGCCGGGAAGAAGGAAAAAGGTGCATACGATCGAGTTGAGTGATTATGTCAAGATCTAGATCGGTAAAACAATAAAAAGAATGGACATGTGCGTTGAGTTGATCACTCGTTTAGCCGGCTCCTACGAAGTCCCGCATTTGCTGATTTGTACCTCTACGATCACGCCGCATTTCATCCATGAAGTTCGGCCTGTTTCTGCCGGCCGAGTGGGGACTTCAGCATCAGATGTGACAATGACTCACCAGGTCTAAACGCATTCGCCTTTTTCCGGTGCCATTCGTTGGATGTCTCATCATGTGCCCCAGCCGATGCAGTCGCCCTTCCTTCAGGACAGTGGTCAGCTGGATGGTGTTGCAGTGGGCATCAAACTGGTGTTGGATACATGCTGTCACATTCCTAAGGGAGGATGGAGCAGATAACGGTGTACAGAACTCTGCATTTCTTCAGATCCGTCTTCCAAAAAGGCGAAGCATTTGAAGATGGCACCGTCTTCAAGAAAATTCGAACACGGGAGGAGGGATGCTTTGCTTGTTCCTGGATTGCCCTGGAAGAACATTCTCGGTTCTGCTGCGTTGATGGCAAGTCCCACTACTGCAGCAGGCACAAATATTATTTCAATGGCTCACTGGGCATCGTCATAGTGCGACGACATAATGAGGATGTCGACGGAAAAGTGAGGGTCAAAGGTGTAATGAAGACGACTCTATGTCAGAGAAATCCTCTACCGCTGTTCGCTGCAAGACATCCAGCTCCTCTGACAAATTAGAAGACCGAGCATATTCGAGTCGCTTCCTATGCTTTCTGCCTGAAGCGTTCATTTCATCCAATGAATATCATTTCTGTTGACAGAGACCATACAATTATAAGAATATTAATTAAACATGCGATGCAAATCATGGCTTACAAATACACGAGCTCATTTAGCCTAAGTGAAAGGTGAAATTTCAGTCGGCCGGTCGGTCGGTCAGTCAGTCAGTCAGTCAGTCAGTCAGTCAGTCAGTCA